GCTTACAACACACCTGTTAATACAACCTAGAATCATATTTGCTTTTTTGGCAACAGCATCACACTGTTGACTCATATTCAACTTGTGGTCCACTATGACCCCTAGATCCCTTTCCGCCATGCTCCTTCCTAGACAGTCGCTTCCCATCTTGTATGTATGGAACTGATTGTTCCTTCCTAAGTGGAGCACTCTGCATTTCTCCTTATTAAACCTCATCCTGTTTACCTCTGACCATTTCTCTAACTTGCTAAGGTCATTCTGAATTATGTCCCTATCCTCCAAAGAAGTTGCAACCCCACCCAGTTTGGTATCATCTGCAAACTTAATAAGAGTACTCTCTATCCCAATATCTACATCATTGATGAAGATATTGAACAGTACGGGTCCCAAAACAGACCCTTGAGGAACTCCACTTGTTATCCCTTTCCAGCAGGATTTAGAACCGTTAACAACAACTCTCTGACTACGGTTATCCAGCCAATTATGCACCCACCTTATCGTGGCCCTATCTAAGTTATATTTGCCTAGTTTATCAATAAGAATATCATGCGAGACCGTATCAAATGCCTTACTAAAGTCTAGGTATATGACATCCACCGCTTCTCCCTTATCCACAAGGCTCGTTATCCTATCAAAGAAAGCTATCAGATTAGTTTGGCATGACTTGTTCTTCACAAACCCATGCTGGCTATTCCCTATCACTTTATTACCTTCCAAGTGTTTGCATATGATTTCCTTAATTACCTGCTCCATTATCTTCCCTGGGACAGACGTTAAACTGACCGGTCTATAATTTCCTGGGTTGTTCTTATTCCCCTTTTTATAGATGGGCACAATATTTGCCCTTTTCCAGTCTTCTGGAATCTCCCCTGTCTGCCATGATTTTTCAAAGATCATAGCTAAAGGCTCAGATACCTCCTCTATCAGCTCCTTGAGTATCCTGGGATGCATTTCATCAGGACCTGGTGACTTGCTGACATCTAACTTTCCAAAAAATATGAACAGGAACATAACACCAAGTATACATGTTGTGTCCAAATATATTTATAACTGATTTAGACCAACTGACATTAACTGAGATTTTACAATGTATTCATCTCAATACATATGGATTCGTTGGGGCCATAAAAGAGATATTGCCAAATTACCTGGGGGGCCGTATTAAACCGGAACACGGGCCACAATTGGCCCGCGGGCCGGACTTTGGACATGCCTGGCCTACCCTATCCTGGGTCTTCCCTTTTGCTTTTAATGTATTTATAAAAGGTCTTCTTGTTTCCCTTTATGCCTGTAGCTAGTTTGATCTCTTTTTGTGCCTTTGCCTTTCTAATCTTGCCCCTGAATTCCCGTGTTGCTTGCCTATATTTTTCCAGATTAAATTCCAATGTTATTTTGTTCCTCTCACCATCTGTGGCAAAACTTTCCCCATACATTACAATTGGCAAATGCAAGTATCCTGTGCTTAATAATTATATAGTGAATTAATAAAACTAGATTAATGCTGAGCCCCATAGTTTCCCACTAGACATCTTTCCTTTTCTCATCTTGACATGTTGCCTTTTACCAGTACACAATGATTTTCCAAGCCAATTTGAATTTATGTTTTGGGGCTGTGTTTTAAATGGTTTACCAAAATCCAGTACATTGCCTCTGCTACATTTCCTTCACCATTAATTGTGTCAAAAAGGGCAATTAAGTGTGTCTGACCCCATTTGTTGTTTGTAATCCAATTTTATTTGTTGTTTATGATCCTGTTTTGCTCTGAGATGTTTAGAGATTTTTCTCATTACTTTAAAATGTATTTAAATTAATGCTTCCCGAACAGTACATGTCAGGATCACTTTTCTTTCCTTTGTGGACATTGTAAACACACTCGCTATTCCCTTAGGCTGTATCTAGACTACAAAGTTCTATTGGAAAAAGATATGCAATTTGTGTATCTTTTTCTGCTTTTCTTCTGAAAGAGGCTTTTCTGACAATTGGCCCGTATACACTGGGCCAAATGTCGGAAAAAAGACTCTTTTGGAACATTCCTTCTTCCTCGTAGAATGACGTTTACAGGGATGCCGAAAAAGCACGTCTGGTTTTCTGAAACTCTGCATTCTAGACATACCCTTAGTCTGTCCCCAGTTCTTCAAAAATTATAGAATGTGTAATTGTTAATGCGCAGCAAATATATTGCTATTCCCTTTAATTGGCTATCTGTATTGTACTTTAACGGTATAATTTTGCATTTTGAAGCTAGGGATTTGAAGCAGATGGCCTTCATTCATATCCCATAGTGGCATTTTTTTGAAATCACTTTCCGGTTCTTCAGAATCTCAGCTTTCATTTTTATAAGTGCATCTCTAGCTGTTATGATTGTGAAGAAATCTTTAAAAACTGTGAACACATAGAATGTAACTGATGCAGAGATGAGTCTGCGAAGAGGCTGGAACACTAGCTCTTAGAGGCATGTGGGGGTTAACTCAGCAGTCTGATAATGATTATGTAATTGTCGGTATTGTTAACTTTTTTGTCCCTTATGTAAAAATGAGGGAGCATGTCACAGAGTTGCTAGGCCCATCCTCCTCTTGAGATGGGTCACGTGCCCACGGTCTTGACCACCCAGACAACCTGGCTGGGCTGCCTCAGTCAGTAACAAAGCCTTGCTCTTCCAAAGCCCTATGGCCTAACTGCCAGAGTCATTGACAACACCCTTATCCTGCAGGGCAGTGTTGCCTAGCAGCCAGAGTCAATAGCAACACCCTCTTCCTGCAGTGAAGTGAGGCCTCGCAGCCAAAGTCAATAGCAGCACCCGCCACTCCCAAGGAAGTATTGCCTGGTGGCCAGAGTCAGTGACATGGGGTGCAGATTCCCCAACTTGGAGAGGTAGTGGTGATGGGGTAGGAGGACCCAGCCCTGCCATCTCCAGTGGGTCCCAATCTAGAGGTGGCATGACAGTGCGGGGTGGGGTGGGATTGGCCACCACCAGTTCATCGGGGATCCCCTCCCAAAACACACTGAACTCTTTTTGGTAAAGCTATCGTTCTGCTCAAAATTCCCCTGGGTTACTTCCTGTCTGACTCTGTAGCTCTGTGCTCTCTGGATCTTCTCTCCCAGTAATGCTCCAATCTGGGGCATCTGCATCGACTTTCTTCTGGCTGGCATTGACATCTTGGTGTACTGGCAGTTCCTTCTTAGGAGCTGCTACAGTTTTTTCTTCTCCATTGGCAGTCAGCAGTGTTCCCTCTAATCTATGCGCAGATGTTTCCCATCCATGTGCAGAATACATTTTTATGTGTGAATGCGCATCACCAGTAGAAACAAAACAGAGCTGTGGGCATGCTACTAATCAGCTGGGAAGCATTTGAATCTCTCCTGAGCAGCTGCAAAAGTGCACAGCTCAGACTAAGCTGTTCTACAGACTTTATACCTGGCCTTCAGCTGGACCATGCCCAGCAGAGCTGATGGGGCAGGGTCTCCTTGGCTAGGTGAAAAGGGTTAACCCTTGCAGTCCTACTGTGGTGTTGGTATGCCACATCACAGAGGGTTACACTAGGCTACGTCTACACTGGCCACTTCTTCGGAATAGCCATGCTAATTTAGAACTTGGAATAGGGAAATGCGCGGGGGATTTAAATAAACATGGCCGCCGCTTTTTTTCCGGCTTGGGGAAAAGCCGGAAAAGAGTGTCCAGACTGGCGCGATCCTCCGGGATAAAGCCCTATTCCGGAGGATCTCTTTATTCCTACTTTCAAAGATCCTACGGAATAGGGCTTTATTCCAGAGGATCGGGCCGGAAAAGAGTGTCCAGACTGGCGCGATCCTCCGGAATAAAGCCCTATTCCGGAGGATCTCTTATTCCTACTTTCAAAGTACTTTATTCCGGAGGATCGCGCCAGTCTGGACGGTCTTTTCTGGCTTTTCCCCAAGCCGGAAAAAAAGCGGCGGCCATGTTTATTTAAATCCCGCGGGGGATATTTAAATCCCCTGCGCATTTCCCTATTCCAAAGTTCTAAATTAGCATGGCTATTCTGAAGAAGGGGCCAGTGTAGACGTAGCCCTACAGTTTACTGAGAGCAATGACTGATGTCAGTGCCACAAGCTGTGGGTTTGGAGAGATACCACCACTTACCTCCAAATCAAGAAGAAGAGAATACTCATGAGCCCACAGGGTCTATAGGTGCATTCAGGTATCTCAAAAGGGAGCTTAAGAAGACCAGTGGAGCCAAGTGGCACCTATATGTTGTGAACATCAACACAGTGTACTGTGAATGGTGTATCATTTTGGTGGTTCATGCCAGTGGGGCTGAAATGAAGCTTAGAAGAGTGCTACTGTTTAAAATTGAGTACAGAGCCAACCATAGGATGGCTCAGGGCGGCTGCCCCAGGCCCTATGCTTTTTGGGAACCCACGGTGGCTGCTCTGCTTCAATTGTCCTATGGAGGGAGGGACCTGGGGCATTATGGAGGCCTGGTGCAGGAGTCACTCCCTCCCCCCCGACACTCACTGCGTTGGTGGGATCCAGAGTGGCCCAGCAGCTTGATCCATTCTGCTGTGCCACTTCCTGCAGCAGCAGGAAGTAGAGTGCCCTGACCGTAAAGTGCCCCACTTCCCGTCACCGCAGAGAAGTGGGGCACAACGGGTTGGAAGAGGCTGTAGGGCAGAGTGAAGCCGGTTGCTGGACCGTACCAGACCCCTGTTAATCCCCCAGGCAGTACTGCTCAGGGGAGGGAGCAAGGGGGCAGAGCAGGGTCAGGGCATGGGTAGAGCCAGGGGTGGGGTATGGAGGAAGAGGTGGACTGAGGTTGGGGTCTGCAGCAGGGGGAGTTGCTCTGGGCCCTATTCCTGGGACATTGAAGGAGGGGGGATTGCCTCTGACCCTGTTCCTCTCCCCTCCTTCCTCCCCCAGGATGGCTCTGTATATGCATTTGTAATGTGCAACATGAACATCACCCAATAATAATACTATGCAGTGTGACATGTCAGGTTTCTAAAGAATGTTTCTCTTGTCTCAGGGATACCAAGGTATGGTTGATGGAGGTAACAACATTGTTGAAGTGTCATGGGAAAGTGTTTCAAGCATCTTGCAAGTGGTAAGTACTTCAAAAACCGAAAACAAATCAAAGGCCTCATTTGGAAACTGGAATTTTTAAACTTTTAAAGATTAAGGCTAAGAATTTCAAAAGTGAGGTTGACTGGTTCCATTTTTGGGCATTCAACTTCAAATACCCATTGACAAATGGGGCCTGCTTTTCAGACAATTGATGCTCAGCATCTTCCAAAAGTCAGACTTCCATAAGATGTGTCTTGTTGAGCACATAGAAACAGTCACCCCCTTTAAAAATGTAGGTTCTAGATTTTCAAAAGTGAGTGCCCAAATTAGGGATGTAATCTGGTAACCAGTTACCCAGTTAACATCACCCTTACCAAGTGATGCTTACCGGGTACCAGTTAACCAGTGCTCAGGAGCAGACCCCTTCCTATGGCCTGCCATGGATGGAGGACTGCCCCAGCACTGGGGCTCTGAGGCAGTGGCCATCACAGCCCCAGCAGTGGGATTGGGCGCCGGTGGCAGCCCACACCCCAGGGTGGGGGCTGGGAACGGGTGGCCACCACAGACCTAGCGCTAAGGGGCCTGGGAGCCTGCCAGGGGCAGCCCCAGGCCTGGGGCCAGCACAGTGCCAGGAGCCCCATGAGCTGAGAGCAGGGCCGAACTAAGGGGTGGGCTAGCCGGGCAGCTGCCAGGGCGCCAACCTACAGGGGGCACGTGGCTCCTAGAGGGCTGCAGTGGCCGCCTGGGGCGAGGACCATGTTAACCCCTGCAGCACCGGCCAGCAGCGCCCTTTCCCCCGCAGCTACAGGGGCCAGGGCACCAAAATGGCCTGGGCTGGCCCTGGCTCAGAGCTCTCCAGGCAACAAGCTCCCGGCCCCAAGGCTTGGATTCCATTTAGTTGGTTAACCAGTTAAACATTAGGTTAATCTAATGTGTAACCTGTTCGCTGATTAATTGGGATTTTATATCAGTTAGTATCTTAAATGCATGCCTAGATATAGATGTTAATCAGAAGTGAGAGAATTGAGCCCAGGAAGTTTAAAAAAAATGTAATATTAGTAGGGAAATGCTGAGTGATGCCCTGGAAACTGTTCACCAGTAAAAGTAAACATATTCAAAACAATTGCTAACAATCAGACCATTATATATGGAGACTAGTGCATATGTCTGGTGGGCTCCAAATCATTGTGCGAAACATGATTGTGCTGTAGTTACCTCTCTGCAGCATTTCTTCTTCACAAAATAGTTCTTATTTTGACTAACATAAAAGAAAGGTAGAATATTGCTTGCAGGCCTGTCTGTTCTTTTTTATCCTGTTCTAATTTTTATTTTATTATTACCTTTGTATACATAAGTATTTTGAGGGAATGGATATTTTTGTCTACTTGGTTCATAATTCTGTTTCTGAATAGAAAGACACACTATTAGCAGTGAATGGGTCATATTCTTTCAGTTAAAACAGTCTTTTGCCTGTTACCATTTCTGATGTTTCTATTGTGAGCCATTTTCCACATTGTTTCCATCATAGCTGGTTACTTTTAGAACTACTTAAAGTGTTTGTGCTGCACTGTCATTCATGGAGACAGGTTTCCCAGGTCTCTTCTTCCTCACTTTCATCTTCCCATTATCAGCTTATTACGACTTTCAACACATATGAGCAGTGCCAAGAAATGGATTGGAACAGGAAGTACTTGGTGGTGAAGCAGACTTTTTTAGATGGCAATACAAACTGTACAAATTCCAAGCTCAAATTTGGGTTGGGCCGGGCCTGACTCAGATTTCTTGTTTCTACTTTATGTAGGAAATGATTATGAAACGCTGAGATGATCATCTCCAAATCTTCTGCTAGAAAAAAAAAGCTTTTACAGTATGTTAATTTTACTTTTTAGTATACATAGAAATACAGCAACATTATGAATAAAATCAAAGACAGTAAGCTTTATAGAAGACCAAAAAAGATATCCTGATGATTATATATGGTTTTGTAAAGCTTACTTATAGTTTTTAAACAGATTTTAAAGAACCAACAAAATCTTTCAAAAGATGGGACGTGGTATTCAACTACCCAGACATCTGATGAGGGAAAATACTACAGTAAGAATCCGGCAAGATTATCCTCCCAAGTTTTTGGAATGCACCTAAGATACATTTTATTACAGAAGGTGGAAAAAGTGCTTAAGGAAAAGTCTGTCCTAGATTAGATTCTGACAAACAGGGAGGAACTGGTTTAGAATTTGAAGGTGGAAGGCAGGTTGGGTTAAAGTGTCCATGAAATTACAGAATTCATGATTTTAAAGAAGAGTCAGAAGGAAAACAGAAGAATAAAGATATGGAATTTAAAGAAGGCAAACTTTAGCAAACTCAGGACCCCATGGGAAGGAATTCTAAAGAGAAAAAGAATTTGGAGGACTGGCAGTTTTTTTTTTTATTAACATTAAAGAGGACAGGAACAAACTATCCCAATGCATAGGAAAGGCAGGAAGAGGGAAAGAACAAGTTAAAAATCTTTTGAAGTCAATGGAGCCAATGAAATACATTCTAGAATATTTAAGGAACTGACTGAAGCAATCTTTGAGCCATTAGCAATTAACTTTGAGAATGTGTGTAAGATGAGAGAGATGCCAGAGGACTAGGAAAGGGCAAATACAGTAACTATCTATTAAAAGGGGAATAAGAACAACCCAGAGAATTATAGATCAGTCATCCTAACTTTGGTGCCCAGAAGCATAATAGAACAAATTATCAAACAATCAATTTGTAAGCACCAATAATAAAATAAAGTGATAGGTAACAGTCACTATATCAGGGACAAATCATGTCAAACCAACCTAATAGCCTTAACTGATAAGGCAGTAAGCCTCATGAATAGATATAATATAATTTGAGTTTAGTGAAGCGTTTGATATAGATGCACATGACTTTGTGGGCACAAAATAGGTTTGAAAAAAACATATTCAGAGAGTAGTTACTAATGCGTCATGATCAAACTGGAAGGTCATATCAGGTGGGTCCTTCATGATCTGTCCTGCATTCAGTTCTGTTCAGTATGTTCAGAAATTATTTGAATAGTATCATAGAATAAACTTGAAAAGTTTGTGGATGATGACATACTGGGAAATTTGCAAGTACTGTAAAGGACAAATCTTCACAAATTGGAGAAATGATCTGAAACACATAGGATGTAATTCAATAAGGACACAATCACCTGCATAAATAAAAAATTAGGAAGGACCATTTACCAGCAGTGTTCCCTCTAATTTTTTTCCATTTATGCGAAGGATACATTTTGTTATGTGCACCGAGGCATTTGCAAATGTGCACCACCAGTAGAAACACATGCTGCCAGCAGTGGGCGGCTGTGGGTGTTCTGCTAGTCAGCTGGGCAATACCTGAATTTCTCTTGGGCAGCCACCAAAGTGCTTAGCTTACATGGAACACTGCCTACCAAGGACAACAGCAGAAAAGGTTTGTCAAAAAGTAAATATGAGTTAAGAATTTACAGTTGTAAAAAAAACCCTAAACATTCTGAGACTTGTGTTGTAAGCAAGACATGAGAAAGTAATTCTTCCATTGCTCTCAGCACTGATAAGATGGAATATTGTGTTCAGTTCTGGGCACCTCCTTTCATGAAAGACATGGGCAAATTGGACAAAGTCCAGAGGAGAGCAACAAAAATGATTAAAGGTCTAGAAAACACGTCCTGCAAGAAAAGATTGAAAAAAAATGGATTTGTTTAATCTGGAGAAGAGAAGACTGAAAGGAGTCAGGAAAACAGTCTTTGTGTATATAAAAGGTTGTTATAAAGAGAAGAATGATAAATTGTTCTCAACAACAGAACAGGACAAAAAATAATGGGCTGAAACTGCAGCAAGGGAGATTTAAGTTAGACATGAAAGAAAACTTTCTAACTGGGTAGTTAAGCAGTGGAAGAAATTAACTAGTCTGGTTATGTGATCTTCATCACTGGAGTTTTTAAGAACTGGGGAGTAATTACTTTGAATGACTCTGGGGAGTAGTTATTTCAAAATAGCAGCAGTGGAGTGTCCACAGTATCGTTATTTTGAAGTAACTGTTTCGAAATAAGCGTTATTCCTTGTGGAAAGCAGGAGTTATTTCAAAATAACTGGCCCCTTATTTCAAAATAAGGGGTTTGGTAGTGTGGATGCTTGGCCTTGTTATTTTGAAATAAGGGGAGTTATTTCAAAATAACTCCCTAATGTAGACCAGGGCTTCAAGTCCAACTTTTCTGTGGTTTTCTGTGATTCCTGATGACACAAGGCACAACTCACATTTTTCATCATTTAGTGATATGTGCTGTCAAAGTATTTACAGTGGCAGTTTGAAGATGTAGGAGGAAAGGGAATCCCAACTTTAGTTGAAAAAGATGAAAGTACATGTTGTGCAATAGTAATTAGCAGGGAGGAAAGTGGAACTAGGGAATTCCAGTTCCTGGTGCTTCTGTATGTGTTTGACATAACATAAAAAAAATCAAAGGACTAAAAATTTTACAGCACATCTTCACACTTTAGTGATGGTTGTGTGCTAGTGAAGTTTATCCCTCATCTGCTTGAGAAGAGCTTTCCAAATTTTTTTCTTATTTACTACACTTGTTTCCTGCCTCATTGACTGATACGCATGTACCAGAGTTGTTAGAATGCAATGTTCCCAGAGATTTGGGTAACTGTTATTTTCTAGTGTACTTCCATACTCTTTTTTGTTTTTCTTATTTATTTTTCTTAATTAACAAATTAGCATAAAAATAATTAGCAAGTAATATGACATACATACATTAGATCTTATTTATTTCCTTTATTCTAGGGAGGGACAGTTATTGGTAGTGCACGCTGCAAAGCATTTCGTAATCGGGAAGGCCGTTTGAAGGCAGCGTCCAACTTGATTCAGCGTGGAATCACTAACCTTTGTGTGATTGGTGGTGATGGTAGTTTAACAGGTGCTAATCTCTTTCGTGAAGAATGGAGTGGACTTCTAGAGGAACTGGCACAAAGTGGTAAGTTTGAATCTCTGAAAATGTAAAGTTCTTAGTCCTTCAATGGATGAAAGAAAATTGATCTGTCATTATTACAGAATGTTACCCACCTGAAATTTAGGAAATGCTAGATTTATGATAGTGTACATATAACTTTTCAGTCCTCTTGTGCATCCGTCCTGTGCTCTGAAATGAGCCAGATTTCCTGTGGAAAAAAATAGGACAGAATCTTATAATTAAAGATTATCATAATGCATACACCAAAGAGGCCAAATTGAAGCTGCATAGAGTGTGGCTTGCCCCGTTGGCTGTAGAACTTGGGTCTAAGCTATCCTTGATAACAGACCGAACCTCATCAGAGGGAAAGGGCAGAAGGTGACTACTGTAAGTAGTGAAGCCCGGGGATGGGGAGTTGCAGTTAGGGTGGATATTGCCGGGAGAAAAGGGGCTACTTCTGGAGGGGTAAGAAACTCTACTTGTGTTTGGAACTGGACATCAGAGCCCCAGGGAAAGA